TAAGTCAGTAAACTGTCTCATCTTTAGAAACTTGTGATTTATTCAACCCTTTCATCTCTCTCTCTCTCTCTCTCTCTCTCTCTCTCTCTCTCTCTCTCTCTCTCTCTCTCTCTCTCTCTCTCTCTCTCTCTCTCTCTCTCTCTCTCTCTCTTTCTTTCTCTCTCTCTCTCTCATCCTAGGTCTCTAATATATGGTCTCTAATTATGCTAAAAATGTGAATCCTGGGTAACTCCATACTATAAAACATTCCTAAAACCAGGATAATACTAAAAACAAAACTGTTTAATTATAAAAGCTAAGCCTTTCGTCGGTCAACACTACCGACATCATCAGAGCGTAATGCAAGATTGCTGGGAGTCCTTCCTATGCTGCTGGGCAGCTCTGCGCTCGGCTCCTTGACCTAGTTACCAGTCCGCCCGTTCTCTCTGCCTGGTGAAGCTCTTTGGCTTCCCACCCACTTTACTAGAAAGCTCCTTGCTTTTTCGTTTACTATATTTTTTTTTAACCATTTTACATTGCAATGTATGAAGATTGCTATATCATTTCTCTGAAGGTAAAATAGCAGCTCATTATTATTACAACATAGCAATTAACCTACAGAGGAACGAGATCAGAGATCACAGATAATCAGAGAAGTGAGGATGACACAATAAGAGATAAAAAGAAAGAAGCTTTGTTTGTGTCAAAGGAGATAATTTGAGAAGAAGGTGATGAAGGAAGAAGGAAACTATAATGCAAGCATCAGGAAAAAGCAAAAGAAAAGCAGTGTGGCTGATAAGAAAGGAAGGATCCATAAAAGAAAAGCCAAGCACTGGTAGATGGGTCTACATAGAAGCCAATCAATGTGCTTTATCCTCCTTATAAGGATGGAGAAATAGCAGGATAATGACCAATCAGCCATGGTTTGAGTAAAGCACCAGCCTGGCCCAGTGCTTTTTTTCTAAAAAAAAAAAAAAAAGGTGCCGGAACTCACACACGTCATACAACCCGCCTTGCCTACCCTACAAGGTTCCATCCAAAAAAGGTGCCGGAACTCCGTTCTGGGCATTCTATGAGAAAAAAAGCCCTGGCCTGGCCCATTAAGAACCACTGCAATCTAGCCTGGAATTTCTTAACAGCCACAAATAGTAAAAGGGACAAGCAGTTAAAAAGTCATCACAGAATTGTGTATAGTGAATGACATTGGTATGAGCTAAATTTGGCTGTGTTGTCTTCTTCTTAGCTTATGCCTTTGTTTTTTCTCTTATTATTTCTTTCTCTGCTTCCATGCTTCATTTCACAATACATCCTGAAAGGGAGAAGTATGATGGGCATGTTTGTATGCACGGTACATATAAATTACTTCCAATGACCCAAGCATGTTTAGCAGCTTCCAAATAGAAGGTCCCTATTTGTCAAATAAGGCCGAATTTTCCACTTTGCATCTTTATTCATGTGAATAGAGAAGGGCTCATGCAGACAGCATGAAAGAATATGGTGAGATAGCCTTTTGAACTTGGATGCTCTCCAAATGTGTGCACTTCAGTTCCCAGAATTGCTGGCAACAACCATGCTGGAAGGAGAGGTCTGGAAATTGATTTCAAGAGGGCACACAGGTTGTAGGCTACGGTACAGTTGTAATAAGCTGCAGGAGTTGAAATGATATTAATGCATCAACGCTCGACTGAAATTGTGAAATATTAGTAAAAGAATCTTACTACAAAGACAGGAGAGCTAGGTTCCCTTGACTGTGTCGAAAAAGAAAAAAAAAGCTAAGTATCAAGACCAGTCATTCAAATTTTCAGCACAGGAAACATTAAACATTACTGCAGGATTTAACTCCCAGTGGTAGTTTTCTATGCCTGTGTGCAGCCATGGCCTAATTGTATTTCTGAAATTAGCTTTTGCACTGCCCTAAAAATGTAAAAACTCAGCCTAACCCAGCGGCAGCTTTTCAGTTCATGATTGAATAGTTTACTGAGTAGACATGTTGACATGAATGCTGCCACACTTGATAACTGTGCAGTCACAGACCACCGTGTTTAGAAACGGTGGTGACTTGTGTCGGTGGATTTCTCATTTTCTACTTCTTAATGTATTCCCTGCCGATTCTGTAGCTATTTCAATTTTTATCTCATCGGTTTTGCAACAAACTTCCAGTTTGCTTCTGCTGGTGCCGGATTTATAATGTATAGAACATTTATTGCTTAGAACATGCTTCCTTTATTGTACATAAAAATCTTTCAAATATGCAAGGCTCACTGCAGAATTGCATTTCTGGGATTCCCTCCCTGCTGCCTAACTGCCTGATGGTTCATTGTTGCTTTAGTTCAGAGCCATTCAAATGTACTTACTGATAGCAACAACAGCCTTTCATATTGATGAATTCTCTGCTTGGAAAATCAGACAAAGAGAGAATTCTTAATCACTAACAAGTGTCAGGAACCTGCCTTTGGTTTCTGTGGGAAAGACAGATCTCTTGTTTCTAAATTTTTGATGCACATTATCATACAATGTATGTTTTTGGTCTATACAAATATTAACTATTTCATCTTACACCATAAATTGTTTGTTTCACCTAGTGATAAAACTCTTTGTCCAAAGATGAATAATATAAGAAAAATGTCATACTTTTGCTGCATGAACAGTTCTTTGACAGGAATAGAAAGAAGTGGAATAATATATTATTTAATACCTATTTAAAGCCAGTAGCCTTGTGAATGATTGCTACCAGTAAGATTATGGGAATGATTTTATTGCATTGGCAGAAAGCTGTAATATCTTGATTTTTTTAATGAGTGTAAGTATGTTTTTAAAAACCATGTCATCCTGACAGAACAGTGTTTGTTTCAACATTTTCAATCTGCAGTCTCTGTGATCACTGATTGTACAGCCACCTAGCTACATAATGCTCAGGTTTTTTCACAGCATGCATGATCAAAAGATGGTAACTTCTATAAATGGTTCCCACTATTTATCTGAAATCTGTCTTGCCTTGTCTTTCCTTGAGCTCTTTAGACTAGTCCTGAGTTAACCAGTGATTGAACAAGACATCTTGTCCACCTCATTTCAGCACCCATTCAAGATTCTGATATTAAGGCAAATTATGATGACCTGATCAGAGGTGTTACTTTAATTGGAGTGAGTAAAGGCAGCCTGATTGTGTCATTCTGATTTTAGGGCAGATCAATGCAGCCTTACTTCCCTCCCCACCCCCATTCCACAATGGTGTTTTACACAAGCCTTAAAACACTTACTGCTTTTGTTGTGCTTTAGCTGTTGTAAGCTGCCCAGAGTCATATACTTGGAGCAATAAAAAAATTATAGGTTTGTTTTGGGGGCGGACATGGGAGAGAGACTGGCTGAGCCGGGAAGAAGAGTCAACTGGGGAATTAGTCTGGAATCCTTGTGAGGGTATAATGGGGGAAAGTCTGATTTCCCCTTGAATGCCATTGAATCTTTTTTAGTTTGATCCAGGTGCAAACCACCAGTTTGAGAAGATTCCTATATTATACAGTAGGCTTGAGCAATAAAATAGCTAATTGAACTCTTCAGTTGTGGATCTGATTGTTCGTGCCTGAAAGCAGAGATTTGAATAATGCAAGTAAGGCATACTTTATCACAACATGTTAGAGTTTTATAGGTAGCTAGGGCTTCCCAGATCAAGAATGTGAAGGATGTAAACACACAATCATGTAAACATACAATCACCACCTACTAACAAATATGGAAATAAAACAAAAATATATTGCTGTATAGAGAACTTTTCAGATAGAGTACAGGCTTTAAACAGTACAGGGAGGATATATATTCTGCAATCATAATTAAATGTGAGAAACAGTCAATGATTTGTAATAGCTGCTCTTTTAGGCATGTCAGACTGAGTCTCTGGGAAGTTTCAGCAAAGGTAAAGCCTCATGTAAACTGTAACAATTTGATGGAAATTAATTTTTGTATCCAATATTACCCATATTTGTATACCAAGCTGATCAATTCCATAACAAAAGATCTGAATCAATATGCCTTAGAGACAGAACAGATGAGTAGGCATATATTACCAGCCTTGGAAGATTTTCAGGTTAAACATCTCAATTACCATAGAGCAGTGTATTTCGAATTTGGCAAGTTTAAGATGTGTGAACTTCAATTCCCAAAGGCTGGCTGGAGTTGAAGTTCACACATCTTAAACTTGCCAAGATTGAAAAATACTGCCATCGATGTAGGGTGATATTTTTAGGACTATTATTTTGACTTTTTGGGAAGGCTATCATTTTTGGAATGAACTCAGTGTTGTAGGATAGTTCTGAGAGGACTCTGAATCTTTGTACTTTGTTATAATCTAATCTTTATTATATTGTCATTGTATGTGCGTACATAGTATACATGTACAACGAAATTTACTTGACACCCAAAAACCAAGTCCCACACACATAATCCCCAAACACACTCCCCCCCACCACAATCCCCACCCCTAAACCACCCAACATCCACACAACAGACCAAGTAATGCTATCCAACAGTTCACTGATGGTGGCCCTTTAGTTCATTGTTGAGTGCAATTACAGCTCTGGGATAAAAACTATTCAGAAAACGTGTGGTCCGAGTTTTAATTATTCTGTATCTTCTGCCAGAAGGCAACAGTCCAAAAAGATTGTAAGCAGGATGGGAAGAGTCTCTGAGAATGCTATACAACTTCCTCAAACAACTAAATTCGAAGATGTTATCCAGGGCTGGTAGTTGAAGTCCAATAATATTCTGGGCAGTTTTAATAATCCTCTGTAGTGCTTTTTTGTCCACTACAGAGCTGCTCCCATACCATGCAAGAATGCCGTATGTCAGGACACTCTCAATGGTGCTGTGATAGTAGGACAGGAGTAGACACTGAGATAAATTTATCTTCCTGAGCATTCTCAGGAAGTACAGCCTCTTCTGTGCCTTATAAATAATATAAACAAAAAATGCAAAAGAAGCCTTTTCTGGGTATACTATTGATTGTCTTTTTTAGAAAAAGACAGGCTTCACGCTGTGAGCAGGATTTGAACCTGCGTAGGGAAATCCTATTGGATTTCGAGTCCAACACCTTCACCACTCGGCCATCACAGCTGATTGTACTGAATGGTCAAAATCTGAACTGATGCTTTTGGAAGAAACTGTCTTTATTAGGTAACTATGCAGTTTCAGCAGGGTTTGGCAGCAATAATTAATCTTGAACTGAGAATACTTAGGTATATCTGGATATATGTATTATATGATGAGAATGATTTTAAAAACATTGCTGTGAGACACAGAAAGAGATTTAGATAGTTGGACTTCTCCTATACCAAGTGTATAAAATTCATGCATTAAAAACGAATCTTTTGCCACAGGTATGTTAGGGCATACGTCGCATTTCTCTCTATATTTCTAAAATGCATTTTTAGAAAATTATCCAAGGTGTATCTGGAGAAATTCCTTCATTTTTCACTCAAAAAGTTTAAATTGCCAGTTGGTAAAAAGGGGTAGTTTGTAATATAAGTTTCATGCACAAGAATACAGGTAGTCCTCGATTTACAACCACAATTGAGCTCAAAATTTCTGTTCCTAAGTGAAACATTTGTTCAGTGAGTTTTGCCCCATTTTAAGACTTTTCTTGCCATAGTTGTTAAGTGAATCACTACACTTCTTAAGTTAGTAACCCGGTTATTAAGTGAATCCAGCTTCCCCATTGATTTTGCTTGTCAGAAGCTCACAAAAGGTGATCACATGACTCCAGGACACTGCAACCATCATAAATGTGAGTCAGTTGCCAAGCATGTGAATTTTGATCATGTGACCATGGGGGGGGGATGCTGCAACAATCGTTAAGTGTTTAAAATGGGCATGTAACTTGTTTCAGTGCCATTGTAACAGTCGAACAACAGTTGAACTGTTGTAAGACAAGGACTACCTGTACATGAAGGTTTAATGCCAGGAGTCTGACTGAACAATCTGGATTGTATATGACATGGCAACAGCATCTAATTAAGCTTGGTTGATCTCAGAAGAACTGCACAGGTGAGAGGCTGATTAGAACCTGGGTAAGAAATCAGCAGAGAATCCCAAGGATGTGGACTTGGAAGTCAAAAAGTATCTAACTACAAGCTAAGTGGCAAGGTCCCCTACATAGCAAGAAGAAGAACTGGGTTAGTGAATTATGAGATCAAATCAGAAGAAGGGAAAAAGGAAATTTACCATGCTAACTTCTTAAGGAAATGTCATGATAGAATCCAGGTCCCAGAACCTTGAATGTCTTTACTTGTTTTAATTAAAGCGAACCAAAGTTGTTGAACCAAGCTTGGGATGTGATGATGTAATAGAATGCATGGATGGCTTTGGGGAAAAAGGGAAAGAGATGCTGCCTAGGAAACAATCAGAAAAGGGAGGCAAGGAGCCCTCCGTGGCTTAATGGTTAAGGAGAAAAAAAATCTTTGAAGGACCCACCCTAATTAATCAATCAGTTAAAGTGACAGCAGGAATTTGTGCTTTCAAATTTGCAGAATTCTTTAATGTAGCCCTACATTAAAGTAGAATAAGCTCTTATAATCATGTTTCCTGTCTGTTTTACCTGGGAGGGCAGACACAAACTGCAACCATCCCACGGAAAAGAAATCTCAATCTGGACTGATTACAAAATCAAAATATATGGAAAAGACACTTTGGGACTATAAATATATGTTCACCACACAACCAGGATTTACAGATCTGGTGGACAACCTATTTGACCTCTACAGGATTCCAGAAAGAAATATTACAAAATGAAGTAAATAAGATACTCCAAATGGACATTATAGAACCATCTGTAACTGGTGTTCTCCAGTTGTATTAGTACCAAAACCAAATGGAGAAATATGATTTTGTGTAGGCTTCCAGCAAATAAACCAAATGGCAAAATTGGATGGGTATTCCTAAGTCGATGACCTCTTGTATGGCCTAAGTGGATCAAGCACTTATCATCCTTGAACTTAACCAAAGAATATTGGTAAATTTCACTGAAATACCATTCAGAGAAGAAAACAGTATTTGCCACTCCAGAAGGTTTCTTTCAATTAAAAATAATGCATTTTGATCTTATATGGAAAACCATCTACCTTCTAGCATTGTATGAATAGGATTCTACATGGTCAAGGGAAATGGAGAGCTACATATCTGCAGAAAGTTCTCGACTTATGAACAATCACTTAACAATCATTCAAAGTTACGACGGACTTTTTAAAAAAGCTTCTTACAACCCATGCTCTAAGTTACAACTGCCACCTCGCCTCCATAGTCACATGATCATAATTTTGGACTCTTGGTAGCTGAATCACATTTATGACCAGTTGCAGCACCCTGCAGTCACATGATTGTTTTCCAGATGAAAATGTCAAAAGAAAGTTTATTAGAGATGCTAGATGCACTTAACAACCACACAGTTTGCTTAATGATCATGGTGACTCACTTTACATGGTTGTAAGAAGCACAGCGAAACAAAGTACAACATGGAAAGTGCAAGTGCTTTACATATTGCCCAATTAATAAAAAAGAAAAAAAATAGGGGATCAGAGAGAGAGGGGGCGGGTAGAGGAATTGAAGTTAACAAACTCTGTTAAAAGGAATACATTACTCTATACCAGCAATAGTAAAGAAGTAATAGAAGTAGAATATGGTCCAGAGAAAATTGTAATTGTAAAGTAGTGATAGTAACAGAAATAGAGTACAGTGATGGCAATCCTTTTAGAGGCCGAGTGTCCAAACTGCAACTCAAAACCCACTTATGTATCGTTGGGTGCCGGGTGGATTTGGCCCATTGGGTGGGTGTCGCCAATTGGGTGGGTATGGCCGATTGGATGGGCATGGCCCATTGGGTGGATGTGGTTGCGGTGGTAATGGCAGACTGGGTGGGACTAAAAAGTTCAATCAATCAATTCCAACTTTGCGAGATCTTTTTTTTCCCCGTGAAAAGTTGAAATTGATTGAGAGATTGAACCTTTTTTTTTTTTGCACACAGTGGCGGAGGCCTAAAGCAAAAAGGGTTGCTGAAGGCCCAGGAGTAGGGCAACGGCGCCTGTGCCCACAGAGAGGGCTCTGCGTGCCACCTGTGGCACACGTGCCATAGGTTCGCCACCACGGGTATAGGATAATAACAAAAAAAAAAAACAGTCACACATATATGTTTGTGTGTTTCACTTTTGTATTTTGGCTTTATTCAAAATAAAATATCTCCCAATCCTTACAGGGACCAGATTTACCAGATACAAAAATTCAACTGTGCTTTTATGACTCATTTGAGTCTGGGTGAATCAAACTGGGTACAGTTTTAGAAAGAAACCCTGCCATCTCTCAGCTTCTGCTCCTTTGCTGATCCATGTCCCTCTCATTGGCAAGGAAACCTTCAGCTTTAGCTTTGTCCCGTCCTTACCCCTCCCAAATCACATCTGCTCAAATAACTGCATTTTCATATGTATTTAAAACCAACCAGCCTCATTTATTTCTGAAATGAACCAAAACCTCTGAGCTGCATATGTTTTGGTTTCTGCATGGACCATCCCAAAACCAGCAGTCCCATGCACCATCTTCAGGCTGGTGTTTTCAGCTTCGTGCTTCTAGGAGCAGTGGGTGATAGCAGCTGTTTCTTCCTTTTAACTGCCAGTGGGGGTTTGAACTGATTGGTTAGGAGCTTGGCTTGTTCTGATTGGATGGGGGTTGGCTGTGCTCTGATTGGATGGGGATGTGTTCTGTTTGGGTGGGGGGCTTTGAACACACCCCCATCCAATCAGAGCACAGCCAACCCCCATCCAATCAGAACACAGCCAAGCTCCTAACCAATCAGAACACACCTCCACCCAATCAGAACACAGCCAAGCTCCCACCCAATCAGTTCAAACCCCCACTGGCAGTTAAAAGGAAGAAACAGCTGCTATCACACACTGCTCCTAGAAGCACGAAGCTGAAAA